CCATAATGTATTATCATTCAAAATTGGTAAATGGGGGTTTTTGAGGTCGGAGATCATGTTTTTTTTGTTAAAATTCAAAAATTCAAGATGGCGGCTTCCAAATAATTTTTTATTTTTGTATAAATGACGATAACTCCGTTGTTATCAACACAAAACTATTACTGCGCCAAATCATCTGTGAGAGAGAAAAAAGTTATTTGTAACTAAGTCATAGTGAGCTATGACCTACATTTGAAAAACTGAAGTTGGTGCTGATATCTCCAATTCTAGAAGAGTTGGTATAAATTTCATATTTTTTTCGAAATCACTTTGAAAAACTGCCATAAGAATGTGAAATTCCTATCTGAATATTTTCATAAATAAAGAAGTTACGGAGGAGACATGAAAATGATCAGATTCTGTTTTTTGCGTATAAAACAAAAACGAATAGATTTCATCGAAATATTTTTTCACATTATAGTTGGCCTTGACAAACTCCACATTTTGTGTCGTTTAACCGACCTCGTATCTCTCACCGTTAAAAAGATATCCATGATGAGCATAATAAGTGGGACACACTGTATATTAGCTTTATAAATCTCCTTTGTGTGACTTCTGAAGAATGAAGGTGTGATTTTAAACTCGCACCCCAGACCACGATCGCATATCTGAGATGACTTTCAACTAGAGAGAAATATACGATCCTCAGATCATCTATTGGTAGTACTTGTTTCAGTTTACTAAATTTGAATAGAATGCTTCTCAATTAGAGCGTTAACCTCTAGGGGGGGGGGGGGGAGCTGTCCCACCCTGCCCCCTTCTGGCGACACCCTTGTATAAAGGGTCAATTCGTCGAATGGAAGTAAATTCCTAATGTGTTTCGTCTGAGATTTCACATTTCATGAGTGATCCTTGCAGTCCCTCAATTTCCTTTTATAAATGCGCTATACTTGAGAGCTGCCTGCACTATCTGGCATATCGATAACGACTCGAAATGCATCCTGAATGCAATATAGGTCCGATAAAGATACGTTAAAGTACTCGTTCTACGACCATTATACTTTTATGCGGATGCTGAAAATGGCGTGCATACATATTTTTATCAAAAGGTACCTATCGTAGAATCGTCATAAACGATTGAAAAATAGAGTTGAATGAGACCGTGTTGGAATTTGTTTCAATCCCCAGTATAAAGATTATTTCTGGAATCGTGTAGTGATAAGGAAAACTGACAGATACAGTTATCAGTTATCATTTTCTAAAAACCCATTTCCAAGAATGAATCAAAAGGATGATGAAGATACGTTAAAGTACTCGTTCTACGACCATTATACTTTTATGCTGATGCTAAAAATGGCGTGCATACATATTTTTATCAAAAGGTATCTATCGTAGAATCGTCATGAACGATTGAAAAATGAAGTTGAATGAGACCGTGTTGGAATTTGTTTCAATCCCCAGTATAAAGATTATTTCTGGAATCGTGTAGTGATAAGGAAAACTGACAGATACAGTTATCAGTTATCATTCTCTGAAAACCCATTTCCAAGAATGAATCAAAAGGATGATGAAGATACGTTCAAGTACTCGTTCTACGACCATTATACTTTTATGCGGATGCTAAAAATGGCGTGCATACATATTTTTATCAAAAGGTATCTATCGTAGAATCGTCATAAACGATTGAAAAAAGAAGTTGAATGATACCGTGTTGGAATTTGTTTCAATCCCCAGTATGAAGATTATTTCTGGAATCGTGTAGTGATAAGGAAAACTGACGGATACAGCTATCAGTTATCATTCTCTAAAAACCCATTTCCAAGAATGAATCAAAAGGATGATGAAGATACGTTCAAGTACTCGTTCTACGACCATTATACTTTCATGCGGATGCAAAAATGGCGTGCATACATATTTTTATCAAAAGGTACCTATCGTAGAATCGTCATAAACGATTGAAAAATGAAGTTGAATGAGACCGTGTTGGAATTTGTTTCAATGCCCAGTATGAAGGTTATTTCCGAAATCGTGTAGTGATAAGGAAAACTGACAGATACAGTTATCAGTTATCATTCTCAATCTCTAAAAACCCATTTCCAAGAATGAATCAAAAGGATGATGAAGATACGTTAAAGTACTCGTTCTACGACCATTATACTTTTATGCGGATGCTAAAAATGGCGTGCATACATATTTTTATCAAAAGGTATCTATCGTAGAATCGTCATAAACGATTGAAAAATGAAGTTGAATGAGACCGTGTTGGAATTTGTTTCAATCCCCAGTATGAAGATTATTTCTGGAATCGTGTAGTGATAAGGAAAACTGACAGATACAGTTATCAGTTATCATTCTCTAAAAACCCATTTCCAAGAATGAATCAAAAGAATGATAAAGATACGTTAAAGTACTCGTTCTACGACCGTTATACTTTTATGCGGATGCTAAAAATGGCGTGCATACATATTTTTATCAAAAGGTACCTATCGTAGAATCGTCATAAACGATTGAAAAATGAAGTTGAATGAGACCGTGTTGGAATTTGTTTCAATGCCCAGTATGAAGGTTCTTTCCGGAATCCTGTAGTGATGAGGAAAACTGACAGATACAGTCGTTATCAGGTAATCATTCTTCTTCTTCTAGTTTTGTGGCCTCTTGTCAAAGGACATACAGCCAGTTATGGTATCTTTGCTTATTGCAATCTTCCCTGAAAGGTGCACACTTCTGTGCGTCTGGAAACCTTGTCCATGCCCTTCATGAGTAGGATGGGGAGTTTACAAAGGTAATAAGACTCTTCTCGCTCTGTGGTGTGTCCAGAGCTTTACACATGGGTTTACACCAGGGTATGCCAGGATTGGTAGAGGAATAGATGATTTCTGTTAACAAAAGATATTTGTGGTAGGTCAACGATTATTGTGGTTTTATATGAATATTTTCATGCAATGCTAAGCTTGAGGAATATTGGGTAGGTATGTTTAAAGCGGGGTTAAAGCTTCAGTCCGTTTTCTGATACGTATTTTACAAGGAGTTTAACTGATGTTGAGAGAGGTTTTTCCAGTAGCGTGCTAATATCTATGGGTGGGGTATCATTCTCTAAAAACCCATTTCCAAGAATGAATCAAAAGGATGATAAAGATACGTTAAAGTATTCGTTCTACGACCATTATACTTTTATGCGGATGCTAAAAATGTCGTGCATACATATTTTTATCAAAAGGTATCTATCGTAGAAAAATGGAGTTGAATGAGACCGTGTTGGAATTTGTTTCTATGCCCAGTATAGAGGTTCTTTCCGGACTCGTGTAGTGATAAGGAAAGCTGACAGATACCGTTATCATTTTCTAAAAACTCATTTCCGGAAATGGTGGGGGACTTTTGCACGTCAGCAACTAGTCCCTAATGGGACCTTTTTGCAATCCCCAAGGTGTTTTTAATGAGTGATGTGGTTCGCTTAAGAGAGCTGGCTATCATCCTTTCCAGGTACCGCCCATCAGCTCTCTTTCAGAGTTTTTTCGGCTGTGTTTTGTAGGCTAGTAATGTACTCACTGCCAAATGCTGCAGAGGCAGTCCTACTAGCTAATCTCGTTAACCCCCGTTAGAGACCGAGGTCCAAGCAGCATTGGCCCGCTCTCTCGCTCATCTAGTAGTTTTCCACACCAACCTACATACACCGTCCTACTTCTTCTCTGATGCTCCCAACCACATCATCATCTCTTTCTGCGTGTTCTGTGTTGGCTTTGTTACTTACTCCATGCGCTACTTTAGGAGCAGCACTGTTGATTGGAACGCAACAGCAAACTATCCCCAGCTGATGCTCCAAAAAAGGGAGATAATGAATATAAGTTTTTTCGCAATATTTTTGACTACCTTGAGATGTCAAATTCATAGTTTTTTCAGTTGGATAAAGTTGTTTTTGAATGTATGACAAATTGATTTTCATCATACAGGACGTGGAAAGGAATTCTGATTCGAGAAAACCCTTCGTGAGTTATGATTGTATATCATTATTCATCATTATTTATTATTATCATTATTTATCCAAATTAGAGGAGAATGTAAATTTCATTTTCATGTTGTCCTTTCAGATGTTCAACAGATATAATTCAATGTTTGGCGTGGAAGATAGCCGGGCTTGTAGCTGTTTTCTGTTGAATATTCAGAATGGTTATGTACATACTTATATGTTCTTATCTGAAGGAGAATACAAATTCTTAATTCCATAAGATTTTATTTTCTAATTCATAGTGTGTGTTCAATAGATATGATTCAATGTTCGTCGTGGCATACGGCCAGGAAAGAAAATTTCGCCTACGGCGCATTCTAGCCAGACTGAAATTTTGTCAGATGTTCTTTCTTCATCTTGCCTAATATTCACTAAAATGATGCCCTTGAGCCATTTTCCTCTAACCGAGCTGTATTTGATTAGAGAGAATAATATAAGAAAAGAAGTCTTATATTACATGATTCACCTATAGTATACAGTTCTTCAATACACTCACCCCCCTCCCTTAGTTAATTTTAGAAAAGCGGGGAATTTTGCTCCAATGGTATATAGTTCAAGTAAGTACTGCATTTCGATTCTGATAAGAAATATGTGCTTGTCTTGCTAATTCAGGGAGAATCTTTTTAAATTTAAAGGTGAGTTGAGTGATGCCTCATTCGAAATGTTTTTTGATTTTCTATATGCAAACAAAATTCCAGACAATGATTTCCATCCCAAACAAGATGGCGGATGATATGATGTTGAAATCTACATCACTATATTCAGAAGAAAATCTGGATCAGATAAAAAAATTGTCATTTGAAAAAAAAGTTGGCAATCGCTGACGTTACAGTTGAAATTTGAAGTATCAATGATCAGAAACTACTCATAGTATCTGATAAGCCATTCCATTTGCTTTTTCATTTTCCAAAATTGGATAAATAATATATAGGGGCGCTATGCATGGTGGGGCGTTTTTTGTTAATAAGCCTATTTATTCTCGCTTATTTTTTGTATACATATATTTTTCAGTACTTACCTACCACGATCATATGTGCCCCCTTGATGTCAGTATGAAATAAGGGGGCGTCTGCAGATACTTCACATTTATAGTCCCCGCTCAATTCCTTGCGTACGCCTCTGAGAGTCACCTCGGTGGGACCAGATTTGGATGTCTGAAACAAAAAATACCATTGAAATAGAACATTCTCAGATATATTGTGAACTTGAAAAAATGGATATATAAGTAAGAACGATATCCCTCTCCTCTTTGGAAATACATTGAGATTTCGCATTCTCTATATGTGATGGAAATATCAATTCTTTCTCGGTATATTCAACAGAAACGAACTACTTTCCTGGCTATATGCCACGGCGAACATTGAATTATATTTAATGAACACACACGATGAGAATTTGAAAAGTTGAGTATTTGCATTCTTCTTCAAATGAATATATGTTTGTACATAATATCATTCTGAATATTCAACAAAAAACAACCACTTTCCTGGCTATTCGCCACGTCGAAAATTGTGTATTAACTACTTTTTGGGTTCTGTTGTTCACAGACCTAGCAACTACAGACCGATCGCACTGCTATATCTGTTATTTCTAAGATCATGGAGAAAGCTATCAACATAGAGCTCATGAAATACCTAGAACATTAAGGTATTATCAACGATAGGCAATATGACTTCTGTCATCAGAGATCAACTGGTGACCTGCTCGCTTACGTCTCACATATATGGCAGCAATCTATTGAAGAATATGCTGAAACCTTAACCGTGGCATTCGATATCTCCAAGGCATTCGATCGAGTCTGGCACCACGGACTCCTCGCCAAGCTTCCATCTTATGGCTTGCTTCCCCAGCTATGTTCTCTGCTAGCTAGTTTATTCTCAAACAGGTCTCTCCATGCAGTGGTCGACGGAGTTTCATCTGAATCTCTTATCATGAATGCTGGTGTTCCGCAAGAATTAATTCTAGCACCAACATTATTTCTACTCCATATCAACGATTTGTTAGAAACAAAATTCATGTCCAGTACACAGCTTCGCGGATTATAGTACCTTACATACCGCCTTCTCTTCCGGGGCTCCAATACCAGCCAGGCAATTCAGAAACGAACGAGGGAGAGATGTTGACAACATAAATATGGACTTGGCTACAATTCTCGAATGAGGATCCAATAACTTGGCAGATTTGAATGCAAACAAAATACAAGCATGCCTTTTCTCTAGAAAAGCCGATCTCACTGTGCCCAACATGAGCTTATCAGCAGTAACCATACCTTTGAAGGCATCCATCTATCAGCAATAACCTTTCCTGAGAAAATGACGTGAGATCAATTGCTAAAAGTGCATCCCAAAAACTTGTTTTTTTGTTTCGGGCCAGGAGCTATTTCACTTCCAGCCAGCTGCTTTTGATCTATAAGGCACAAATCCGACCTGTCCTGGAATATTGTTTCGATATTTGGAGTGCAGCACCCAAACATACCCTGAAACTGTTGGAGTCCAAAAAAGGGCAATTCGTCTCTTGGGTGATGCCTCTCTCACAATCTCACTCACTTCTCTGGAACACCATAGAGAAGTTGGCGATGTGGCTCTATTTTATAGATATTTTCATGGACGATGCTCGTCTGAAATATCAACAATTGTTCCTCCCTTGGCAGTCCCCGCGAGATTAACCCGTCGAGTTGAGGCTTCGCACCCCTTCATGGTCACTTTGGAGACCTGCAGATCATCTCTTTTCAAAGACTCGTTTATCCAACGAACAGCGAGGCTCTGGAACACTTTGCCAAGGGAGGGCTTCTTCGAGGCATATAACCTCCAGAAATTTGAGAAGGACATCAATAATTCCTACCTCATTTCACTTGGTTCTCACGATGTTCTCTGAAGAATAAAGGATATCCCTTATCGTGGGAACTAAAACACAAAAAAGGAAAAAAAAGTCTTTATCAATGGATTCGTTGCACGAAAATCCCGTAAATAAATATACCCGCATAATCTTCAAGCGGCATGGTACATACGTATATAGGTGAAAAATGTCCCTGGAAAAATGCAGAGATAAAAATCCCCGGAGGGCGCGAACACTTTGTAGGGTCCGTAGGGGGCGAAGACAGTCGACGTCCCGTTGGACCGCGGTAGCGATGGGGGTAAGTGGGGGACACGTCGTGGGGGATGGGATGTGAAAATTTGATACGAGATCAGCGTCGTGCTCTACTTTCAGTTGGCATTTGCATGCCTCTGAGACGTCGCGAGTTGCTTTTTTTCCTTCGCGTATCGCGCACAGTAAATCACGAAAATCTATAGAAGAATTCACAATCCTGAAATGATATTGTCACGAGTAGAACATAAGGTATATATATATATATATATATATATATATATATATATATGTTTTTGTACCAAGTCGAGATCCGAATAAATTATGGACAACCCGAGATCCACCACAACAGAAGGACTTCGTTGAGTATGTATTTCACAAATAGTTGCCAAACATCCTCTTCAAACCAAAACCCTAGAGAGGGGAAGAGATTTTTCGATTTGAATTTTTGTGATACTATTCAAACAATGAGAGATCCGAGACGAATTCATGCAAGTTGAGATCCGGAAATGTATATTTTGATATTTAATACACAATATGAGATCCTGCAATGTTGTCAGATCTGATGTTCGAGGAATGGACACGAACATCTATATTTCTGAATCTATTTTATATTTCCATCACGCACACATGTTGAAATTCTCATTTCTATAGCAAAACAAATATTTTTGAAGATGATGGTGGCGTCATGCGGCACCCTATTGCTGACAATGAGCTAAAATCACATGTAGGGATGAGCGACACATCATTTAATGAAAAATCTTCCACTTTCTAGCATTCAGACCAATCAAATCGTTCAATGTGATTTTGAGGAGAGTTAACTATTTTTCATCTCTTGGAGCGCACGAAAGCAAATCTCTTTTATGTGAGAATTGAGGGAGAAGGTAGATATTGGAATTTTCTTTGAACCTCTGAGGATAATAAGTTCTTGAGAATATACTTCCTGTTGTTAAGAATTCGAAAGACTTGCCTTTTTATTGACAAACAAATTCCGATAAAGAATTGTTCGGTTTATTTCGAGGATAACGACAAAAAAATGTGCTGACTGAGCTCATCGAGTACGTCTAACTGGTTTTGCGAGTGAAAGAAATTTCTGAAGAACATTTTTCGTGAGAGTATCATTAGAGAAGTGTAAGGTTACCGACTTCCTTATGGTGTTACGATAGTGTCAAAGAATCAGTGAGTGTGGCATCACCCACCAGACGGATGACTAGTCTCTGCATCGGAGATGAATCTAGCTGTATCAGCACATGTTAAGGTGCTGAATTTCATATGTGAAAAACATATTTCTGAAACGGGCCGTTTCTGTGCTTTGTAGATCATCAGAAGCTGTCATGGTGTGAAGTTGAATTTCCTAATTTTGATGGAAAAACCATAATCTCCGACCCCAAGAACCCCCTTATATACAATTTTGAATAGAATCGGATCGTAATTACAAAACTCGTCCGCCATATCGGATCCGCTGTTCCGTATTCCCTAATTTCAATGACAGAATCATAATCTCCGACCTCGAACACCTCCAGATACCGATTTTGAATAGAATCGGATCATAATAACGAAATTCGTCTGCCATATTGAATCTGCATTCTTGAATTTCCCGATTTTCACGGAATAGTCGTAATTTCCAACTCCGGAAACTCTCACATGCATACACATCTTGAATAGAATCGGATCATAATCACAAAACTCGTCCGCCATATTGGATTCGCCTTCTTGAATTCCCCAATTCCCACGAAATAATCGTGATTTCTGACTTCAAAAACTCCCACACACACAATTTGAATAGAATCGGATCATAATCACAAAACTTGTCCGCCAAATTGGATCCGCAATTTTGAATTTCCTAATTTCGACCAAGAAATTCATAATCTCCGACCCTGACAACACCCATATACCAATTTTGACTCGTCCGCCATATTGGATCTGCCATTTTGAATTCCATAATTTTTACAGAATAATCATCATCACTGACTCCAAAAACTTCCACAAACAAAATTTTGATAGAATCGGATCATAACTACAAAACTAGTTCGCCATATTAGATCCGCCATCTTGAATTCCCTAATTTCGACCAAAGATTAATAATTTTCGACCCCAAAAACCCCAAGATCACAATTTTGAATCTTATCGGATCATAATTACAAAACTCGTCCGTCATATTAAATTCGCCATCTCGTAATTTCAAATTTCAACGAGGGAATCATAATCTCCTACCCTGGACACGTCCAGATACCAATTTCGAATAGAATCGGATCATAATTACAAATCTTGTACGCCATATTGGATGTGCCATCTTGAAGCACCCGAATTTTACGGAATAATCGTAATCTCCGACTCCGAAAACTCCCACACACATAAATTCCCTAATTTTGACGAAGGAATCATGATTTCCAATCCAGAAAACCCCCTGATTCCAATTTTGAATCTTATCAGATCATCATTACAAAACTCGTCCGCCATATTGGATCTGCCATCTTGATTTCGACAAAGGAACCGTAATCTCCGACCCCAAAAACCACCAGAAACCAATTTTCAATAGAATCGGATCATGGTACAACACTCGTCCGCCATATTGGATCCGCCATATTGGATCCGCCATCTTGAATTTCCTAATTTTGACGAAGGAATCATTATCTCCGACCCCAGAAACCAATTTTGAATAGAATCGAATAATGATGACAGAACTCGTCCGCCATATTGGATCCGCCATCTTCAATTTCCCAATTAAAAAAATAGTTTTTCACTATCGTGCGCAGAAATCATATTTTTCGCACGCATATTAGTGCTGTCAGAGTCACTTGCCCGCAATAGTGCGGAAAAAACTCTCAACACTCAAATGAGTGCAGAAAAGAGAAATTTGATTTTTTTTCGCTCGCTAGTAGTAAAAATAGTGTACCAAACACATGCGAGAAGTGTATTTCCGCACTTGCTTTAGGTGAACTACCATTACTACCGATTCTCAGACCTACCAAAGATGCACACAAATTTTCCTAAGAAACGGCAAGCCGTTTCGGTACTATTGGAAATTGGAGGAGTTTGGCAGCAAACACTGTCACAGGAGTGTAGTTCT